TTCTGGTAACTTGAAGGACAACTGTGTTTTCCCTTGCTGGTAACCATAGGGCTGCAGCCCCTGACAGAACCTGGCCAGCATAGACTGCTGACCCAGGGAAAAGATAGGGTAACCACCGTTGTTGCGAGAATCATAGGAATGAGGCCGACGGCACGTCGGCAGCAGCACTATAGGAAAAACTTGGGATGAGGTCTGAGAGTGCTAAGACCTGATGTCCTGGGTAAGGACAGGTGGCCTGCAGACCCAGCACGACATCAGACTCCGTTTTCTGAGAAAACCAGAAAACGGACTTCCTCCGAACAGTTCGCCCGGAGCCGGCGAACGCCCGAAAAGGGCAACTTGGCCCATACGGTGTCAGATTGACACCAAACTTGGTGGCGGCCTCCCCTGTGGTACAATGAGAGGGTCCACCAAATTTGGTGGCAGTGTGATAATGTTTGAGGCAGGAAACATAGGCCAGTACATCCCGAATTTTCACCCTCGGCAAAGAAACAGCGAAAACGATAAGTTACCGTAACTAGCGGAATCTGCAAAGTCTGCAAGATTCCGGCCAACAATATCTACTGCAACTGAGTGTTTTCTGCATATTGATCACTGTCTGGGTGCTAGGGAGACTGTGCATCGATTCCGGGACTCGGGGATACAGCCGGCAATGAGTTGGGCGCTCGGGTAGGGGACAAAGCGGTCCAAGGGTCACTATGCGCCCCGTTACTCCTTCTCCATCACCTACACCCATCCACCTTAGCCGACCATCCCAACCCTTCTTCCTCCTCCATCACCTACACCCCCATCCACCATAGCCAACAACCTCACACCTTCGTCCACCTCCATCACCTACACCCATCCACCGTAGCCGACCACCCCAACCCTTCTTCCTCCTCCATCACCCATACCCATCCACCATAGCCAACCACCCCAACCCTTCTTCCTCCTCCATCACCCATCCACCATAGCCAACCACCCTAACCCTTCTTCCACCTCCATCACCCACACCCATCCGCCATAGCCACCCTTCACCTACCTTCTCCCACCTCCATTACCCGCACCCATCGACCATAGTCGACCTTCACTTACCTTTTTCCACCGCCATCACCCGCACCCGTCCACCATAGCCGACCTTCACTTACCTGCTTCCACCTCCATCACCCGCACCCATCCACCATAGCCAACCACCCCAACCCTTCTTCCACCTCCATCACCTACGCCCATCCAACATAGCCAACCACCCCAACCCTTCTTCCTTTTCCCTCACCTATACCCATCCACCATAGCCAACCACCTCACACCTTCTTCCACCTCCATCACCTACACCCATCCACCATAGCCGACCACCCTAACCCTTCTTCCTCCTCCATCACCCACACCCATCCACCAYAGCCAACCACCCCAACCCTTCTTCCWCCTCCATCACCTACACCTATCCACCATAGCCAACCACCCCAACCCTTCTTCCACCTCCATCACCCACACCCATCCGCCATAGCCAGCCTTCACCTACCTTCTCCCACATCCATCACCCGCACCCATCCACCATAGCCGACCTTCACTTACCTTCTTCCACCGCCATCACCCGCACCCGTCCACCATAGCCGACCTTCACTTACCTTCTTCCACCGCCATCACCCACACCCATCCACCATAGCCAACCTTCACCAACCCTCTTTTACCTACATCGCCTACACCCATCCACCATAGCCGACCACCCCAACCCTTCTTCGTACTCCGTCACCTACACCCATCCACCATAGCCAACCACCTCAACCCTTCTTCCTCCTCCGTCACCTACACCCATCCACCATAGCCAACCACCCCAACCCTTCTTCCTCCTCCGTCACCTACACCCATCCACCATAGCCAACCACCCCAACCCTTCTTCCACCTCCATCACCTACGCCCATCCACCATAGCCAACCACCCCAACCCTTCTTCCTCCTCCATCACCTACGCCCATCCACCATATCCAACCACCCCAACCCTTCTTCCACCTCCATCACCTACGCCCATCCACCATAGCCAACCACCCCAACCCTTCTTCCTCATCCATCACCTACACCCATCCACCATAGCCGACCACCCCAACCCTTCTTCCTCCTCCATCACGTACACCCATCCACCATAGCCAACCACCCCAACCCTTCTTCCTCCTCCATCACCTACGTCCATTCACCATAACCAACCACCCCAACCCTTCTTCCACCTCCATCACATCCATCCACCATAGCCAACCACCCCAAACCTTCTTCCTC